TGAAACGGGAATGGACCCAAGGACTCACCCATATTATGCTAGGCAAGCACTCTACCCCTAAGCCGCACTCCCAGCCCTTTTTATTTTATTCTAAGACAGGGTCTCACTGAGTTGTCCAAGCTGGTTTTGAACTTGCCATCCTCTTGTCTCAGCCTCTCTAATAGCTGGGATTATAGGTGTGCTCCATTGTGTCCCTGATGGTGACTTTTTTTTTTTGTGGTACTGGAGATTGAACCCAGGGGTTCTCTGCCACCCCAGCCCGTTTCATTTATTTGAGACAGGATCTGTCTTGAACTTGGAATCCTCCTGCCTCAGACTCCTGAGTGGCTAGGACAACACACAGGTATGCTGACTCTTTGAACACAATGTGCCCTGCTCTGGTAGCATGGTCCCCTGTCCTGCCCAGTGCCTGGAACATGGGAGGTGTTAGGAGTGAAGCACTCAGTCATTCTGAGCTGTGATCTTAGTTTGTAATTGGTCTTCTGCACATTCATTTCATTTATATTTCCAATTTTACATATTTAGGGCTTCAATTGCTACTGAAATACATTCTATTTTAATAGAATTATTTTATAATTTATTGAATTTATCAGAATTCTCATTTTTAATTGTTGATTTCTTTTTCTTTTGGCACTGGAGATTGAACTCAAGGGCTCTCAACCACTGAGCTGATCCCCAGCCCCATTTTGTATTTTATTTAGATACAGGGTCTCACTGAGTTGCTTAGTGTCTCACTAAATTGCTGAGGCTGGCTTTGAACTCTCTATCCTCCTGCTTCATCCTCCTAAGCCGTGAGGATTATAGATGTGTACCACTGTGCCTGGATTAATTGTTGATTTTGAAACAATTTAAAGCCCAGGTCTTACAAAACAGTTTAAAGATTAGTACCTAGTATTTGGTGTACTCATGAAGACCCAGCAGTTAGCTTAGTCTTGGCTTTATGATCTGAGCTCTGTGTGTCATGTGTATTTTTTTTTTTTGAGGTATTCGAGTGAGCTGTAGGTTTGATGCTTTCCCCAATGCCTCGGGTGTGTTTCCAGGGACAGTGTCATCACAGAAGTGGTGTGGTGGTTACAGTCAGGGAATTTAACCTTCATGTGATACCTTTCTGTGGACCTTTCAGGTTCATTTAAAAAAAATTTTGTTGGTGTATTATAATTATACATAGTAGCGGGATTCACTGGGCCACGTTTGTACATGCATGCAGCATGATTTGGTCAGTCTCCTTCCGCAGTACCTCTGCATGAAGCTGGAATTTAGGGACTGTTGGGGCTCCTTCTGCCACTGTGTTAGGATGCTGTGTGCAGCATTGTGGGTGGACCTTCTCGATTGGTTCTGTGATGCTCCCTATCAGTGCTTACCTATTTATTTGAAATGTAGTTGTTTCTGTTTGTATTCCATCAATAGGTTCCCTCACCTTTATTGATTTATTTTTAGTCTAGAAAACATCATAATGGTTAAAAAAGTAAAAAACTATATGAAAAATTATATCTTGAGATGTGTCACTTCCCGTCTCATTTGGCACCTGGTTTTTACTTAACCCTGTAGGTGGCTTTTCTCTTGTGTTCCTTGGTTTTCCTCCTCTTTCTCTTTCTTCTTCTTTTTGGAAAAAACCAAAGATTTAAATATTTTTATTTCTCTTTCTTAGGCAAAGTGTAGGATGCTACACTTTTATTGGGATGGTGGTGCTGGGGGTGGGGTCCCGGGGGTGGGGCCCAGGACTCCTGTGTGCTCGGTAAGTGCTTTGCCACTGGGCTTCACCCTTAAGGCGCGTGTGCGTGTGTGTGTGTGCGTGCGTGTGCGTGTGTTTGTGTGTGTGTGTGTGGGGGGGGTGCTGGGGGTTGAACCCAGGGCCTTGTGCGTGGTAGGCAAGCACTCTGCCAACTGAGCCACATCCCTCGCCCTCAGCTCAGCTCATTTAAAAAATATTCTATTGAATTTATGCTGGTTTTTCTCTCAGCTTTTATGACCTTTTCATGTTTCAGGGATATGTACTTTGTGATGTATGTTGTGAATATTTTCTCAGATGCTCATTTATGTATTGCTTTGTTTGTGGTATTTTGCTGTATGATTAGTAGGTTGAATATACATATATATACACATATATGTATGTATATACATATATGTATACACACACACACACACATATATATATTTATTTATTATTATTTTTTGCTGCATTTGAGTCACAGTGGCCTTTCAACTATACCCAGGTTCTAAAGGAATTTGTCATGGATTTTGAGCCTCTTTAGGTTTTCTGTTTACCTGTAGATCCCGGACCCATTTGCAGTTTGTTTTGGTGTTTGCTGGAGGGGAGGGTCTTCTTTCCCTGTCAGAGGTGGCTGTCTAGGTGTCCCAGCACCCCAGGGAGAAGGCCCCTCTCAAGCCCTGTTACCTCAGGGCTGTGTCTCACTGCTGCAGGCTGTGTCTCTTGGCTAGTTCAACTTCCAGGCTCATGGAATCACTGTCTTGTATTGGTGGCAGTTGGGAGGCATGGCTTTGAAGCCTTATTGACCCCAGCGTGGTAGCTGCTACAGGAATTATTGCCACCTAAGGACTGCTCCCGTCTCAGCTCCTCTCTATCTCGATGGCTTTGCCTCTCTCTCCAGTCACTGGTCTCTGCTTTACTACTCCCTCTTTTTCTTTTGCTTTGTTCTGTGTTTCTGAGTTCCTATTTTGTGCCTTATATACACTCCTGCATGAAGTATGAGCTTACGACTACTTAGCTAGTGATGGCAGGGTTGCAGGTGCTTCCCTGAGAGTGGGCACGCTGCTGTCTCAGCCTGCCCGAACACGGGTTCCCTGCAGCAGTGCAGGGCTATTGGTCTGGAAGGCACTGTTTCCCTGGCCCACAGGAATGTTCCATGGGGTCGTCAGGACTGTGGCTGTGAGGAAAGAGCAAGTCTACTGGGCTCTAGGATTTTTAGAGCTTGTTATTCTTTTATTTTTATTTTTTATTTTTTTTAAATATTTTATTTACATTTTAGTTTTCGGCAGACACAACATCTTTGTTTGTATGTGGTGCTGAGGATTGAACCTGGGCTGCACCCATGCCAGGGGAGCACGCTACCACTTGAGCCACATCCCCAGCCCCTTGTTATTCTTTTATTGAGTGAAATTAAATCAGTCTGATGCAGTAGTGCTCCCTAGTGCTCTGCTCTGCCTGCCTGCCCACAGATGGCACTGTCGATGACGTCTGCTCCAGCCTTGGGTTTGGAGTTAAGTTACTCAGAGAGCCCTCGGTGTTGACATCCTTTCTCCAAAGATGGAGTAGCATCTGGGAGCCTCTCCGGTGCTTTGATCCTGTGCTGCATGACGGAGGAAATGAGGTCCCATGTGAGAAGCAAACAGCCTACTTCATTCTTACCCCCAATAGCTCCCCTTTCCATTCTCTAGGGGAAAAAGAATGACAATAATGCAAAGGTAATTTGTTAGCACTGATGAGACAAATTAAGACACCTTGTCGTTTATTAAATCCTAATTTGTGCCAGAATTGAATGTATTATAAGCCTGGGGAACACGCAGAGCAGTGAACATAACATAGCATGATGGTTACAACCCCCCAGGCTGGTCCTCGGAGCTCCTAGCAAGAACACTGTCCCTTGGGGACCTGCCCCTGCCCTGTACAAGTGGGGCTCCTTTTGAGCTTCTCTCTCTTGGGGCTGGCCACAGGAGGGCAGTCCTCGGAGCAGGAGTGCAGGGTGCTACTTTGTGGTAGTGCGATGACCACCCTGTGTGAACTTTGCTCCCAAGGGACCCCTGAGTTCTGTGGCACACAGACTGGGTCACAGGCTCTTGCTGATCTGAATGTATTATTTGAAAAGGACATATTTTAGATATTTTTCTAAGTAAGTCCTTCCCTGTTATTATTTATAGTTTTTTCCTCTTATTTCTTGCTGTAATTTTTACAAAATTGATAAGAAACAAAACTGCAAGCCACCTGCCTTTCTGAGATTTTGGTTAGAGTTCTTTGTCTTGTGGCTGGGAGAGAATTTTGCACGTGGAATTTTCTTTGTTCTTGGTTTGTATTTTCTCTGACTATTTGTTGGTCTGTCACCATTCATCTTTCCACTTACCTATCTATTCATTCTCTCTTCTGTCTTGGTCCAACAAGTATTTGAGGCAGCTTACAGAATTAGAGAGTGAAGACATACAGGTGAGGAAGTTGGATGCAGATTAGAAACCAGGGTGAGCAAAGAGCTCACGGAGCTGGGAGCAGTGCAAGTAGCACATCCTGGTTGTGCACAGCTGCAGACAGTAGTGAACTCGTCCTCAGCCTAGGAAGGAACGGGGTGGGGTACAAGGGGGTGCAAGTGTGCAGGGGGGTGTTGAGAGAAGCCCAACATTTCCTGCTACTAGACCTTAGAGTGTTCTGTGAAACCAAAGAACATTTCATCCTTTTTCTCCTGCTAGAATTCTCTATGTAGTTGGTTGTGTTTAAAATGGCGGTTTCTCCAGAACTCTTCCCTGTGGGGGCTTGATGGCTGGGGAATTAGGTGGTTCTGTTTATTGACTGGCTTTGGTCAGAAGTAGAAAATGACAGCCATGGAAAGGAGGGTAGTAGTTTTAGGTTATTATTATTATTTTTTAATGCTGTGCAGTTCAGAAAATGTTTCCTATGGTTTGTTTCCTTTGAGGATGCAGTGTGGGCCCTTGCCAGCAAGAAGAGCTTCAAGCTGAGAGAGGGCCGTGACTTCACCCATCTCAAGACGGCTAAGATGGTTTTTTATAAACTTGTCACTTTTATGCCATGCATTTCATACTCTTTAATACAAAGTTCCAACAGGGAGGAAGACTTACTCAGAGTTAACTTTTAATGTAGTGCTTTGGGGGTAAGACTTGGAGGAAGAAGATGGTCTGTGAAGACTTTAAACACTGTTTCCTTGTTCAGAGTTCAGTAGGACGGGTTTAGGTTTTACCTTATTCATGCTTTTCTTTAAACTAACGAAAAAGTGACACTTAAAAAGCAAAAGATTATTGTGTGTTTCCTGCATTTGCAGGTGCCCTCACGACCAACGGCATAAACCCCGACACCAGCACTGAAATCGGGCGTGCCAAGAACTGCCTCAGCCCCGAGGACATCATCGACAAGTACAAGGAGGCCATTTCCTACTACAGCAAGGTGACTTTTCCACTGAATGTTTTGCATGTCGCGTTGTTTCAGTCAGGAGTTTGTGGTGTGGTAAGTGTGCACATGTTGTTCTCAAGTGCATGATACTGTGCGTTTAAAGTGGGTTTTGTTTTAACACAGTATGTGTTTAATGAAGTATGTTTGGAAAAAGGGGAAAGAGGCTGTTGTCACCTCAGTGGTCCGATGACCATTATGAACATTCAGTACCTGTCTTCTGTCTTCTTTGTCATTGTGCACTGTTCATGTCGTGGAGGGGCTGCACTTACTGTCCTGTTGGCTGTGTGCTACAGTGTGTTTTTCATTAGGCATGTTGTGCGTTTTTCTTTCTTTCTTTTTTAATTATTAGTTGTTCAAAACAATACAAAGCTCTTGACATATCATATTTTATACATTTGATTCAAGCAGATTATGAACTCCCATTTTTACCCCGTATACATATTGCAAATTCACATCGGTTACACATCCACGTTTTTACATACTGCCATACTAGTGTCTGTTGTATTCTGCTGCCCTTCCTATCCTCTACTATCCCCCCTCCCCTCCCGTCTTCTCTCTCTACCCCCTCTACTGTAATTCATTTTTCTCTCTTGTTTTTTTTCCCCCCTTTCCCCTCACTTCCTCTTATATGTAATTTTGCATGTTGTGCGTTTTTCTGCGCTATCCAGTCTTCCATGGTGTGATTTCTCATGATCTGTGGCATTCCATTTTCCAATGCACCATTCTTTTACTTTGGACTTAATTTTTTTCTTTTCTTCTGTGGTGCTAGGGATTGAGGCCAGGCCTTGCATGTGCTCTATCACTGGGCTACACCCCCAGCCTGAAGAAAGTTTTAAATTCCAAGTGTTATTACCGAAATACTATAAAGGGCCACTTAGGCGTGGGGAAGACCCAAGGCCCCTGCCCTCTGCCCTGTTCCCAGGGTGGCGCCTGTGAGACTGGACGTTGCACTTACAGGTGTGGGACCGGCCTGTCTGTCGTGCTACTGCTGGCTTCATCCACTCGCAGTACTTTAGCCTTGCTGTCCTCCTCCTCAGACCTCTGGGCTTTTGGGAGCACTGTGGGGACAGTGTGTGTGGTCATCCGTCCCCAGGCGGCTTGGTGCAGGGCTGGCGAGGGGAGACGCCCACTCTCAGCAGCTCTCCGCTGGCTGGCTGTGCTCTGGGGTCCTCCTGTCGGAGGGTTAGGGTCCTCACTCCCCGCTGCCCGGGGCGCTTTCCCGAGTGTTCTTATTTCCATGGGGCATTACAGTCACACTAACTGTGGGTCCCTCATACGTGACGTGAGTGGTCAGCCTCGTCCCTTGAACCTTCCCTCTCTCTCGCGCTCCCTTCGCCCCCTGGCCCGCTCTCCTGACCACCGTGTTCCTGTTGTTGTTAACTAGTGTGTTACAGTCACACACAAGAGCAGCATTCACTGTCGGGTGTTTGTCCCTGGATGTGGCGGTTTGGCAGGTATCAGTCCCCAGTGCCTCCCTCTGGCCCCCTCCTGCCTCCCTCTCCTCTCTGCCCCCTTCTGTCCTCTTGGTCTTGTTTCTGTTTTTGTGAGATCCCTTTTCTACCCGACCCCCCCACCCCCGCCCCATGTGCACATGAGAGAAAGCGCTGGCCCTTGGCTTCTGAGTCTGGCAACTTACTCAGCATGGTGTCCCCAGCTCCATCCCCTTACCAGCATCAGTACATGCGCCAGGCTTTCCTTATTCAGCTTTTTTGAACATTCTTGTACATAAACTCTTATGTTCTTGTGTGAATATTCCTTTATGTTAAATTTTTCTAGACATTTACTCACTGGATGTGACATTAACATTTGTCATAGGTCATTTTCAAGTTGCTTTCTAAATTCCTTCTCTAATAGAGAATGAAAAGATAAACAATTATGAGAGAATTATATACTTAAGCAATGCTTCATTCCTAAATAGTATTTGGTTTTGATTTTTCCTTCCATGATCATAAACAGTGTTCTGATAAATAGCCCAGTAGATAAATTTTTTGTTCTGATTTTTTTTTTTTTAATGGTGCTGGGGATCAGACCTAGGCCTTGTGCATGCAAGGCAAGCACTCTACCAACTGAGCTATATCCCTAGCCCTGGCCTGATTTTTTAAATGGGCAGCATTCTTAGAAGTAGACTTGACACATTTTTAGGCCTGTATATTCCTATGTTGTTCTCCAAAAAGGTTATACTAACAGTTTAAACTCCCCCCAAAACACTAGCTGTTTTCCTTTTAAAATATTTGACAGTATACTGGTAGAGATAATTATTTTAGTGGACATTTTAGTTATTTTACTGGACATTTATCAATTGTTAACTGTTTGATTTTATGAATTATCCTTCTGTGTTCTTTATATATATCTAAGTTAGAGTGCTTTTCTTATTGCTTTATAAAAGTTCTTTGTGTATTATAAATGTTATTTTCTTGTTTATCATAGACATTGCAAATCTTATTTTTTTTTCTTTTTGTGGTGCTGGGGATTGAACCCAGGGACTTACACATTCTAGGCAAGAGCTCTATCCCTGAGCTATACCCCCAGCCTACAAATCTTTTTCTTAATGTTATTTGTGTTTAAATTTTGTTTATAAGGTTTTTCTTTTTGGCTGTGGTCAAAAACATATTTATAACATAGTGATTGCTTTCTTTATGACATTTATGTTTGGTTATTTGCTTAAAATACTTTCTTTCCAATAGAATAAAACTCTTTCAGTTTTTATCTAAAATGAGCATGACAATAGAACTCATCATAGAGTTGCAGTTAGGAGAAGCTGATAATATGCACAGTATGTTTGTGTTGGCTATTATGGATATTTTAAAATACTGATACCATCTATGATTTATTTTGTCTGCATTATGGCATAGGAATATAACTTATTTTTCCAGGCAATTATCTAACCGTCTCACTGTAATCTATTGAATTCATATTTTTTCCTTGACTTGAAATCTCATTTTAAATGCACTTTATCTATTTCCGAGCTCTTCATTTCTTTGTATAAGTGTGTCACTCCTTGTGTAGCACCATGAGAGTCGCTTGTCTCATATCTAGTCTTTGGGTCCTTTTCCTCCTGACCTCCCTGCCTCCTGTTTTCCTGGCAGTAGAGAGAGGACCGCACCTGGGTCCTGGTGCTTGCTGGGTGGGTGTTCTTCTGTCTGACCACACCCCAGCCCACCTTTTTAAAAACAATTTATTTTTTTTAGACATTGATGGACCTTTATTTTGTTCATTTATTTCTATGTGGTGCTGAGAATCGAACCCAGTGCCCCACACGTGCCAGGCAGGTGCTCTGCCCCTGAGCCCCAGCCAGCTCTGCCAGCCCAACTTTTAACTAGTTCTTTCCTCCCTTCCTCAATTTTCTTGTCTAATATGATGGACTTATTATTCCTGAAGAACTCTGAAGGACTTTGCTTGGGTTAGCTGTTATTCATCTTTCAGTCTCCTTTGGGCTGGGCGGGTTCCTTAATCTAAAGGACTTGTTTAAGGTGGAATCAGCCTGGCATGTTGGTGGCGCAGGTGGCCCTTGTGCTTAGCCTGGAGACATCATCTCATCTTTAGGTGCTGTTTTCCTCTATGGGATATGTCAACATGCCCGTGTTAGGACAGCTTGTTTTAGGTCCCTCCCTTTAGTATTAGGGTTTTCCCCTCTAGTGCCAGGGACTGAAGCCGGGGTGTTTTACCACTGAGCCACATCCTGAGCTATTTTTATTTGAAAAAAGAATTTTTTTAGTTGTAGATGGACACAGTATCTTTACTTTATTTATTTTTATGTGGTGCTGAGGATCGAACCCAGTGCCTCACATGTGCTAGGCAAGTGCTCTTCCACGGAGCCACAACCCCAGCCCTTTATTTTTTATTTGAGACAGGGTCTCGCTCAGTTGCCCAGTCTGGCCTTGAACTTGAGACCTCCTGCCTCAGCCTCCTGAGTGCTGGGATCAGAGGTATGTGTCACCACCCTGGCATATTGTAGCTTTTTTCTTGTTGCACATGAGCACTGCTTTGATGTTTATTCCTAGTTATAGTGTGTGTTTTTGTTTATTTTGTGAATGAGAATTTTTTTTGCCATTATATTTTCTTTAAAGGTGATAAATAGGCATTGATTTCCACATAAAAACAAGTAAAATAAAGGTATTGTGTCCATCTACAACTAAAAAACAAGTTAAAAAAAAAAAAAAACAGCCCTTTCTTGTCTATTTTTAACAATTGTTTCCCGAGAGTAGCACAGTGGTGATAGCGGGCGGCTGAGGGGCGAGTGGTGTGCACGCACTGCAGTGTGCAGTGGCTGCCTTGGCCAGGAGAGAGCCTGTGGGACAACGTGGAGACCACTTCTCTTGCTGTCATGGTCGAGCCTCTGGGCACGACAGGCAGCTGTCACAGTACTGGCCAGGCCTGAGCCTTGGTGGCCGTCTGGGGCCCTGTGGCAGGGAGCACTCGAGGCCCATCTGTATGGCAGGACTTGTCTGCCCTGGTGTACTAGCTGTGGGTGGCTGCCATGTGTGTGCCAGCGCAGACCCCGAGTCAGACAGGACTGAGTGTGGCCCCCCCCTCTGCCATTCCTGGCTGTCTCATTCCCGTGAGGTCCCGTGTCCTCTTTGCGCTCCATTTTCTGTCCTTTCTAATGGGGAAGCTAAGGACTGTGGCCTGGAAACCTCATGAGGGTGAGTGGCTTCCTGTATGTGAAGTGCCCGCAGAGTGACAGTGACAGGCTCATCAGACTGCTCAGTGGAGCTGGTCATTGTCTCCACCCTCCCTTCAGCGTTCTGTAGGGTGTGGGCAAGCGGTCCTCCTGGGGTGCGATGCAGGTGGAGGGGCACCCTTCACACCCGGCCTTCCCTGCCGCTGCCTCTGCTCTTCGGCTTCACTTGGCTTTTTCTCCTCCTCTTTCTTCTTTCACCTCCACAGAGAGGGCCCGTGACTGCCCTGCTGCTCAACCCCCAGATGAGCAGCCTGTGAGGCAGGTCTGTCATCAGGGAATGGCGGTGGCATAAAGGACGTGTGCACACAGGCATGCCACGTGGCCACGTCCGCTGTGCTTCCTCCCACTGGATTAGCAGGCAGCGCTGGCCTGCAGGTCTCCCGCACGGGGGTGCTGACGGTCTCCTGAGCAGTCTCTCTCCTGACTTCGTGAGTGCTTTCTTCTTGGGTGTCTGATTTTTGACCCAGGAAGTTCTCTAGTGGGAGAGCTGAGATGGAGTCGTTCTGCTGAGATGCTGGTCCTTGTCTTTTGTGGCGGGAGGAACCGTAGACAGACAACATGAAGCCTTCTGCCTTTCTATAGTTGGAGGGACCCCGAGGCTCAGAGAGGTCGCCCATCTTAGACAGTCACACAGGGGCATAATTTGGACAAGAAGCTTAGGTCATCGGATGCACACAGATGACAAGGTGGTGGTTTGGTGGGGTGGGCGGACACCTGCTTGCCTGGGTCCTGGTGTCTGGCAGAGTCATTAGTGCTCCCCGTCATCACTTGTCCTTGCAGCCTCTCCATGGCTGCTCTCTCCCTGTAGACATTTCTGGTCAGCAAGGGTTCTGGACCCAACATGCTCCGCAGGGCTGTCCTTCTGGCTTGCTGAGGCTTTGAGAGCAGAAGCAGTCACAGAAGCCCCTTCTTGCTGGAGTTTGCCCCCCAGGTCAGCTCAGGCCAGACCTGAGCAGAGTGAGGGTGGCAGTGTGTGGGCCTGGGCCCCTCCAGTCCCTGGCCCGGCCCTTCCACTTGGGTCTGCCCAGGTGGTCTGAGTTCAGGTCTTGCCTCCCCAGTCACTTGCTTCATGACTGTGGGCTTTACTTTTTTTGGTCTCATTTTCTTTATTAATTTATTAATGAATCGGGGTAATACTTATTTTAGGGGTTTAGTTTTGGAATTGAGTGAGACAGCTCCCTCATTTATTTCTGAGATGTAACTGTTCTGTGCTAGGAGCTTGGTAGGTAGGTCGAGGGACTCAGCAGTGAGCCTGGACACAGGCCTGCTTCTCAGAGCTCATGCTCCAAGAGAACGTCCGTATACATCTAGGTATGTAGCAAGTTTTCAGGAACTGTGCCCATTGCTTTTGATACTTGGGATTGAACCAGGATCACTTTATCACTGAGCCACATCCCCAGCAAGTCCCTGTCTCAATTTTTTTTTTTTTTTTTTAAATTTTGAGACAGAGTCTTGCTTAAATTGCTTAGGACCTCACTAACTTGCTGAGGCTGTCCCTGAACTTCCTCTTGCCTCAGCCTCCCTAGCTACTGGGATTACAGGCCTGGCCACCACACCCAGCATTTCCACATTTTTTATTGGCCCATTATAGTTGTAAACAATGATAGGATTTGTTGTTGCACATTTCTTTGTGATATAATTTAAAATATGTAAATTTAACCAAAAGTATGTGGAAAAAACATCAAGTTGACACTTTTTTTCTCACTTATATAGAAACGATTTCAGAGTTTTGAAGGAAAAGTATTCATTTTATTTCAACAGAATCAAATTCCTCCATTAATTCTCTGTGGTATTGTTAAGTGGTGTACACAGTTGGTAGAGTTTTGAGTTCAGGCGTGGTCTTAGGTAAGTTTACGTAGTCCATTTTCCTGATCATCCTCGATAACTGCCTGTAGTGTGTCACAGGTTCTGTGTGAGTCACGGGCGTGGAGAAGGGGAGAGTGATGACGTGGCTTTTCTTGCTCCATAGTTAAAAATCATGTCCCACCTCACATGTGATCTTAGTGAGAGGACGACTGGCTCCCTCTCGCTCTCTGAGCTTGGCAAGTGGGCAGGCTGTGTTTTAGGAGCAGTCCTACCTTGCCAGGCCCACTCAGGTCCACAGTGCCCGAATGCTTTGATTGCCGTGTTAGCGCCTCTGCTAAAAGAATATTAGTGTGTTATCCCTGCCCCTCTCAGGTCCTCCTAAGTACTAATCCACATGGGCTTCACCTCTACAAACTTTGCTTCAATTTTAAGAAAAATTTCCCCAATTCCATCAATTGGAAATTACTCCAACTGGGCTAACTAGCAATGATGCTCAAAAAGTACACTAGTCAAGTCCAAGCCAGGGGGCCCATCTGAGAACCCTGAAGCTTTGCTGGTCTCAAGTGCTTCAGGTAAGGCATCCTCAACCTGTATTGTGAAGTTTTGTAAAATATTAAGCTAATGTTGTTGTATTATTTTAATGAATACCAGTGTATTTACAGGGCAACTGTATGTTCACCCAGTCCCATGAACCTCTCTTGTCCTTATGTAGGATATACTTTCTGAGAACCTTGGTGTGGCGGGGGCGAGGTGGTTGCAGGATTCGTGTGCTCAGGACGTGCAGTGTTGTGAAATGGCAGAAACTTGTTTTTTGACTGAGGTGCCTCCTTTATACCCTACAGTACAAGAATGCTGGAGTGATTGAATTGGAAGCCTGTGTCAAAGCTGTACGTGTCCTGGCAATTCAGAAGAGGAGCATGGAAGCTTCGGAATTTCTGCAGAATGCAGTGTATATTAATCTTCGACAGGTGAGTCTGTTCCGCCTCTAGGAATTGGTACAGTGCTCATGGAGTCTCTCTCGTGACCCAACCTGTTTCTCTGTGCTGGAATGCACCATGGCTTGGAAAGAACTATGGAATTGTAGTTTGGTAGCCAAATGAATGTAGTTATTCATAGATTTTACTTCTTTCTTTTATGGTATTTTACTTTAAAAAGTCAGAACTTGGACTGGGGTTGTAGCTCAGTGATTGAGTGCTTGCCTTGAATGCGTGAGGCACTGGGTTCAATCCTCAGCACCACATAAAAAAATGAATAAATAAAATGAAGATATTGTATCATCTGTATCTAAAAAATATATATATATATATAAAAAGTCAGAACTTGCTGTCCCTCTGAGTTTTTCTGATTGGAGAAGCAACTTGGCCTCCATCAGCCTTGTGCTTGCATGTGCTTCAAGGCTCTTGCCTTGACTTGATCTCTTGTGAAGTGCTTGCCATTTGTAACCATCCTGGGTGTCAGGTTTATAAGATGAAGTTCATGGAGATACTTTTTTATATTTTTCCTTTTGCCCAGCATGCACTCCCCAAATGTTAGTGAAGTCTGAATCTGTATAGGTTTAACAAAACCAAGTCATTAAAGCATGTGGTCATAGACTGATAATGCCAGTCCCCAGACTGATAGTCTGAGGAGGATCTTGGGTAGTCAGCTGGTCTGAGTTGGCTCTTACAAGGAAAGCCAAGGGGAACTGAGACTCCAGAGTGTAGCACATGGTAAGGGTCAGTGATGACCCTGAGAGGGTCAGGGTAACCCCTGGTTTCTGCACACGCTGGTCAGGCTGGGCTTTGAGAAGGACAAACTGCACGAGGTGTGAGGGCCCATGAGGTGCAGCTTTGGGCATAAGAAAGACTGAGGTGAGTAGGTCTGGGGCCTAGGTGAGAGGGGGCGAGGAGGAGGGGAGGGGAAAGAGACTTTAAAGTCATTTTTTACTTGAACACATAAAAAAATATGACTCATAACAAGACGCTCATCTAATTCAACATATTGGTGCTTTGCCATGCTGAATGCAGAGATCATTAAGTGTTTCAATGGAAAGTAAAAGCTTAAGTAGAAATGAAATAACAGGGTTAACCAGCATCTTAGAGTTGATGAGTGTCCATGACTTGATCCTCTGTGTGTATACAGCCAGTCTGTGAACAAGGAGATGTTTTAACATAATGGTCAAGCATATGGACTCCAGACACAGACTGCTGGGCTTGACTGTGCCTTTGCTCCCCGGGGCATGACATTCAGCCTCTCTGCGCCTTAGATCCCTCTCTGCAAAGCACATCTGTTGCCCCTCAGGCCCCTCGTTGCAGCTCATTTCCTAGATGAGACACTGAGAGTGAGGCTACAGAGTGGGGTGTGGAGGGGCAACTGTCAGCCCCACACCAGAGGAAGAGACCAGAACAGAGAGAGCCAGTGACCTGAGGACAGACAGACAGCCTTTTGCATAAGGAAGTAAGCACCAGGTGGACCGGGGCCAGGGAGGAGGTCGGGGTCTGTGCAGCTTGGTATTGTTAGGAAAGGCTGGAGAGGCTGTGGTCTTGGCTTGCCTTCAAGTTTTCAGTAAAGGTGGGCAGGGGCAGCAAGTGGAGGCTGCCCAGGGTGAGGCTGGCAGCCCTCAGTGGTGCTGGGGTGAAGAGCCACGGTGTGGATTTTGTGAGCATTTAGCTCCATTCTTGGGTGGGTCGTGCAGGGTTCAGCGCTGTGCCAGGCCATAGATTCAGGTATGATGAGGGTGTCGTCCTTGCCCTGAGACCTGGTGGTCTTGATCGCCCGTGCACGGCACCCACAGTCCTGGTGAGGGGGGTGCCGACACAGACCTGGGGTATGAGGCTGGGCTCCCCTGCAGATGTGCACTCAGGCGAGGGAAGGGGGCTGGCCACGGGGGATTCCAGTGCACAGCTGGAGGCTGGAACAACTGTGTGGGGGGTAGTGAGGCTGGGAGGGGCCACGAGGGTGGGTGAGCTCCTGGTGGGGAGCATGTGTAAGGGTGAGGCTTGCTGGGTCTCATCAGCAAGGCCAGAGAAGGTGCTGGGGAATGTGCTGGCTCAGGAGCAGGCACTCAGGCCAGGGCTCAGACCCTGCCTTTGCCTCCTCGGGGCTGTGTGACCTCAAGCAGAGTCACTCAGCGTCCTAACCCTCAGCTCCCCATCTGTGATGTGATATGCCGCCAGCTCACATGGGAGCAGGAGGAACAGGTTAGCGACTCAGGGTTCTGTGCTGTTTGGTGCCCACCCTGGGGAGGGACTGTGGTGTTCAAGTGTTAACAGGCTTCAGAGCCACCTGGTGTTTTGAAACAGAACCCAGGGGCTGGAGCTGTGGAGTGGCAGCCATTCCACAGGGCAGGGGGCTCTGGGCCCCTGGACTCAGCCGCTCCAGCACAGGTTCGCCTCTGAAGGCGTGCACGCCTGTGCCCATAGCTGCTACAGGTACCTTTGCAAATTAATCTGGAAACTTTGGGTTTGCTGTGAAACTGTTTTTACAGGTGGGCAGATAAATACACATATTTTACAAAATACCACGTTTTCACTTAACATGTGAGGGCATTGGCTGCCATTCTCATGGCGCTGCCTTCAGTGTTGCTTGGTTCTCCTGCAGAGCACTAGAGGTCAGCAGAGCCTCACTGGAAGGGCCGCCGCCGCTCCCTGCTGTGGCGCGGTGCCAGTGTGGGCGCTCGGCCGTCTGCATCCTCCCCAGTGCGCCTCTGTGCTCTGGGTGACTCATCTCTGTGTTTGTTTGCCAGGCGAGCAGGCAGCAAGACGAGGAGTTCTGGTGGTTTTGTGATCACAGTGAAGGGAAGGGCTGGTGGTTTTTCTGAAACAGAACAAGCCTTTGGTTCTTGATCCAGTGTGTTCATTGTAGCATGGATGAGTTGTGTCTATTCCTGGGGAATGATTGTCAAATGTGGAAATTTTGGAAGGAGCCAAGACCTGGTTATTGCAGGTTCCTCCTATCCTCAGAGGCCCCGAACTGGTATATGCTGCTTTTGGATTGAGTGGGTTGACAATGGTCTCTTTACAGAAGTCAGGGCAGGACACCTCTGTTTTGTGTGCAGGGTCTTGGATTGGTCTGCTTTTTCTTTAGTTGTTAAGGCAAGTGGTTTATGATAATTATCTAACACTGACAAATGGCAGCAACTGTGCACAAATTGCATTAGACATGAGGATTCTACAGGCAGATGGGGAGGTAGAGATGAGAGAGAAGGAACTCAGGTTTCAGCCTCCTAGATTTAGGTTTAAACCACTCTTTTGTCACTGTGAGACCTGGAATTGTTATGTAACCTCTCTTGGCCTGTTTCCAAACCTGTGAAATGGGAACGATAATAATAATCTCTTCTAGACATGCCAGTTTCAAGTGCTACAGTGACGCGTGCCTAGGGTGACCCCCTGTTGGGCACGTGCTGAGGCTGAGTAGGCATGTCTGCCTCCTTGATGGGTGCCCAAGGAGGAAAGGCAGCTCATGTAGGTTGAGGGCCCATCACAGTCACTTCACGAGGCTGTGCAGGTGGCTATTTAACTGTTTAAATCCCGTGTCCCGGGGCAGTCATCTCTGTTGGAGAGGAGGCACCTCAGGTCATGAAAGGTGCCAAGGCTCATCTAAGGTCAGACTGTGTGAGAGGTGAGCACACCTGCTCTTTCCTTCGCCTGCTGGGCACATAGCAGGCCATCTGGAGGCACTGTGTCACTGCCTCCTGCCCTTGAATGTTCAGCAGAGCAAACTGGTCCTACACCAATGGAGCTTGAAGTCGAGGGGGAAACAGGTATTGACAGATAAGCAGAGAAGGATAAAATTCTGCTGCACAGATCTGCAGCATTTTTTGGTTGGGGCTGCTCCAGTGGTTTTAACCCTAGGAAAATAAATTTTGTTACTACGAAAATAAGACAAAAGGCAAAGCCTCTGCTCAAGACCGGGTTAACTGAGACTCCTGGCAGTACTTACTGTTAACAAGCTCACTGGCAGTACTCGCTACTCACTGAGTAACCAGCCCATTGCAGGCACCTGGCCAGTGCTGTACAGATAGTGGACAACTTTGCTAAGTAGTTTTTTGTACCCAACTTTAGAGAGAGAGAAATCAAGGTCGGGGACCCAGATTATATGACGAATTTCACCAGTGCTGATAAATCTAGTTTGCCATGCTCGTAAAGTCCAAGTACCACTGGGTGCTGGTGCATTCCTGTACTCGCAGCAACTTGGGAGGCTGAGACAGAAGGGTTGCAAATTCAAAGCCAGCCTCAGCAACTTAAAGAGACTCTGAGCAACTTAAGAAGACCCTGTCTCAAAATAAAAAGGACTGGGGATATGGCTCAGTGGTTAAGTACCTTTGGGTTCAATCCCTGGTCTCCACCACCGCCCCCCCCCCCCAAAAAAAAAAAAAAAAAAGAAAAAAAAAGGAAAGGAAAAAAAATTCAAGCTCCTGTGCTGCATTATGTAACTTTCCCTGAACAACCCAACAACCCAAGTGACTAAAATTAATTAACTTACAGTAAGGAATTGTTTGGAAAACTAACAAGGGGCTGGGGATGCGGCTCAAGCGGTAGCGCCTCGCCTGTGCATGCGTGCGGCCCGGGTTCGATCCTCAGCACCACATACCAACAAAGATGTTGTGTCCGCCGAAAACAAATAAATATTAAAAAAACAAACAAACAAACCAACAAAAAACTAAGAAAACTCCAACCTTACCAGTTGTAGGAAGGTGCTCTGGCTGCCTGCAGAGCTGGGATGATTCTGAGTCGTTTGAGAACTTTTTGTGACACTATTGACCAAGGCCTGCCACCTCTTGGCCCTTGGTTGATTTGTCTTCAGAGTCATTCGAGTTCTACGCAGGCTGCTCTGTTCAGATGTAAGGACAGCCTCTTCAGTGTTTGACGCTGTCCCTTAGTGAAGCTGTTGCTAAGGAAACCTGCAAGAACCTGGTGGATGCAGGCGTCCATCGTGATCATAACCCCAGAACTTTGTGTCAGTTTAAGCTCAGAATTGGAGGTCTGGC